AGGAGCTCCTTGAGTAGAACGCTGCTTGCAGAGAAGGCACTTACTCAAGGTAAGTAGGGAGGGTTGAGTATGTGCGTTACAGAATATAATTCAAACCCAGCGCTCTTACAGAAGTTTTATTATCAGAAGTTAGATCCCTGGAAAATATGGCAGTCCACAGGGAGAGTGGGAGAAACAGAGAGGACAATTTAGGATTTTTGGTAGACTCCGTCTCACCCTGGACGTACCTCTCTGTGCTGGGAGTTGTGCAGTACTGATAGATAAATCATTTGTGTAGAACAGAGGACTACATTTGTTTTAATCCCAGGGTCCTGACCTCTCAGTAGCAGCTGCAGAAAATGAAGGTCTGCAACCGTCTCAGAGGAAGACAGGGTCTAGCAACCTGCATGTATTTTGTTGTTAAACACCATGCATGCGGCACAAGTCAATGCAAAAGGAAACGATTCATTTCCGTGTAGCGACCTACCTCTCGTGAATCCACCGCTGCATACATAATGTCCATCCAACCTTTAAATGTGGCCTGAAAAAAACCCACAAGATACATAATGAAGCATGTTAAACACATGTATCTTAAAATGATGATATAATCCCTGTGATGAGTTTTCAAAATCCAATGTTGAGCACATTCTTCACAGTTAATGAATTGCCTTTCCTTTAAAGCAATGCATATCCACGAGTTTATGTTTATTTAGATACTTAAAATAATTCCAGAATGGTTTTCTCCTGGATTCTCTCATTCATGTTTCCTGATTTTCTGCACTTGCAGGGATAAAACAGAGGTTTTAAAAAGAGATTTGAAAAATGAGAGAAACTGCTCAAGTTTTGGCCCAGCTGAGATGGGTCCTATCCATATTGCTTGCTCAGACTGATGGGCAGTGGCTGTGTTGCAATCCCACTGAAGCTTGGTTTCTTGCCTCTTTTAAAACAGGGTAAATCAAGGCAATGTTAAGCCCAGGGAGTCGCACAACTCACAGCTGGCTTAAAAGGAGCAAAGGCAATCAACACCTTCTGTGAGCCTGGCCCTGGAAGGTCAATCTGCTTTGCTGTTCAGAGTTGGCTGTTTTTTTGGTATGAATTTTTTTTTTTAAATCAGGGCTTTAAATTATTTTTTGAATTGTTTAAACAAGGAGAGATTCCACAGAAGTCAGTGTGTCTTACTGGAACCTTCAATGGAGAAGTGCAGTGACCAACACTCCTAGGAAAAACAGGTAGGATTGATTTTTATTATTTTGTAGGAAAAACATGTAGAATTGATTTTTACTATTTTGTAGCAAACCCATGACTCTCTGCTCTCAGTATATGTCTCTCATTAGACACAGCCTGATGCCAAACATCCCTGGCATTAGGTCTGACCCTGGCCTGAGCCGCATTGCCTTTATATTAGTACTCTGGGGTTGTTTCTCATTTGACTTCTGTCCCATGTAGACATACCCTGGACTTAAAACCCGGGTGAGCAGATAACGGGGCATTTTTACATTTATCCATTTAATCAGATTTACACTAGCATGCATTAAAGACCCATGCCCAATCTTTTTTTGCATCGTACTGACACTTAGGTTGAATTTTGTCCTGGTGTGTTGGCATGCAATTCCAGATAGCACTAATAGCAATTTGGCCAGTGGTTCCCAGGAGGATCCCAGGCATTTGTGTTGAGCTAGTTACATCCAGCAATTTTAGAAATGCTCCATTATACACTCTTTATTATTAAATAAAATCTTGGAGGTAACACTGCCTTTCCATTTCCCTCTGAAGGTTACTGAGCCAAAGGAAAATGATGTGGAAGAGGTCAACCATATTTCTCATGAAAGTGTATATAAAATAATGTTTGAAAGGTCGCATTCATACCTCAATCATTGGATTTCCTCTTTGGAACAACTGTTCCATGGTACTGTGTGTTAAAAAACACTTCAGATGTAAAGTGTTTACAGGAATGATCATCAGTTTTATTGAAACCAGTAATTATTTGAACCTGTCCTGCTGATCCTCCTTGCCTGTTCTAGTATTCTGCTGTTCTCTTTCTAATCTGATGAAAGATTTTCTGGTGTCATTACAGTCACTTGCAGCTTCCAGCTCAAAGTCCTGTTCAGGAAGGGTGGACAGGATGAAACAAGAAATCCTTTCTCTGTGGCACAAAATGATATGATCTTAGCCTGTACTTTTGTCTCACTTGGGAGGAAATCTTTTCTCTTGAGTAGCTGTTTTACCCCTGAGTGTGTACCACAGACATGAGAGACTCTACAGCAAGGCACAGTGGTTTGCAGTGATAACAGATGATGAAGTGATCTAGCAAAAATAAATATTAAGGGAATGAAGTAATGTGATTTTCTGTTTTTCCCAGTTGTCCACAAGTAAGAGAATTAAAAAATCCACAGGGTTTCTGGAAAGCATCCCTAGACACTTCATCTGCAGAGGGTAGAAGATACTGAGAATGAAAGAAATATAACACTGGGGAAAGAAATTATTTATCTGGAATTAGTAACCACTTACACTCTGGATAAGGAAGTGACAAAATCTTCATGGGAGTGTTTGTGATATTATCCTGCCTGGAAGCTATCCAGAGAAACACCATTTTCTCCTGAAACTGTCATGTGATGAGATTATCTACTGATAAACTCATCTTGGGATGGGATTACATTTTGTTATTTGACTGGTGGTTCGAGCTGCAATGCAGAAAATGAGTAGGGAGGAGGATAGGTGGGATGGCACTAGCTGCCCTCAAACCATTCATTGTATAACCAAATGGTACCTTAAAATAAAACAAGCCTTTAAATCCGCGAGCGGTTTGGGGTGGGTTTTTTCCTAGAAAAGGACTGCATTCATGCAATAAAAAATGGTTGCATTTGATGGCAAAAATACTGGTCTTTGTATTTCTGAAGTGTTTCTTTAAGCATTAATTTTGGTGAGATAAAATTCTGAGAGCTTAACCAGAGCCACCAACAGTACAGCCAAACTGCACATATTTAAATTAGCTATGCCAGCTCCACTATCTGCTGGCTTTTCTGGGGATTTTTTCAGTTTGTTTAATTTCATGATAGCAGCAATTTTATACCGAACATTTGTTTTATGTTTATTTTGCATTAAGACGATTTACTGGGAAGGGCATCACCAAGCTTTGGCCCCACCAGAGCACCCAGAGGTCTGCACTGCGATGGGCTATGGGGGCTTCAAGGGCACTGCATCTGCTCCCTTTGAATTTCCACCAGTGATTCTTCACAGAAATACTACTTACTCCTGATCTTTAAACATATGGATAAATTCAACCTGGCACACCAATTCATGTTTTGCTCAGAAGCACACTGATGTTTTGCACATTTTGCATCCACAATGAAAGCAAAATCTAGCACTACAGCTTAGAGGAGCGCAAGATATCATGTAACTCACTAACTTTAGACACACGCCGCTGTCTCATGACTATTTTGTAGCTGATTTATGAGCTCAGTCATGACTTCGAACTTGGCGTAAGGGGTTGATTTAACTTTACAGCTCCTGATTGCTGTAGTGGTCTAGGAGTGCCCCTGTTCCCATTCCTTATCTGGAGTCCCAGAGTGACAAAGAGTTGTAGGACATATTAGAGGTAAGTCTGCTCCTGTCTAAGGAGAACTTCTCCAAGCAAGCCAGATGCTGTGTGAGAGACCACTTATTTTCTTGGTGTTCTTCAGTAGGTTGCTGAAATGTCAAGATACGTTTAAAAAAAAAAAAAAAAAAAAAAAAAGTGTGGAGGTGGTCATAATGTGAAGGGAAGGATTCTGAAAGGGAAATGCAAAACTCCTACTGGAAATTCAAGATGTTTCTTTGTTTAGCTGAAATACAGATTTATAGAACATAGGTACTGTGAACTGCAAAGCAATTCTGGGAATACAGAAAAAGCATTACTGAAGCACTGGGTCGTAGCAATAATTTTTTCCTAATAGATTAAGGTGTTAAGGGTGTTAAATCCCCAGAAGAGTGAATCATCCTTCTTGCAAATTAAAAAGTCATGATAATAAAGATCTTTTCCTCCGTGTGAAAGAGGCATTTCTCTTGCTTGTGGAGTGAGCAGAGACTACCTCCTATTTCAGTAATCTGTCCTGAGACAGAACATTTGTTAGCTGGAGAAACTTGAAACTTGACTGACCATTTTACATTAATGTTTTCTTAGATTTGTTAATTCAAAGTGGTATCTTTAGACCAACATGATGTATCCTAACCAAGGTAGGAAAAGAGCAAAGGATATTTGAGGAAGGTGTCATGAAGTTCTCAACTACATTGTCAGAAGGTTTGCCTCTGGATAGTAGTAAGCTTTAAAGTTTCCAACTTCTTATTTCTTTCAAGGATGGTGTAAAAGGGAAGAGAGCACATTAGGCAGACAGATCTATTTCCCATATTTCCATCTGGATTTTCAAACACATTCAGGCATCCAAAAGCAACTTCAGAGTCCTTTAAAGAGTCTGTTGGAGCAGCTGAAAATGTCAACAGTCAAAAGACAATCCCACTTAAAAGCTCATATTTTGGATCCCAGAGGGTTGTAACCAAAATGCTTATCTCATCATCACTATGCACTGTCTCAGCGTGCACAAAGATGCTTCGATGTGTCTGTCTCTTTGGGCGAGCTGAGCTGCTAAATGATCCCCTGCAGCTCCTATGGTAGTTTGCTCATGAAATGCCACTCCATAGGGAGGATATTTGGTGAGGAGCACCTGTAACCAACGCTCCTCGGCTGGAGTCTGGCAAAGGAGATCCAGATGCTTGGGCCCCTTCTCTGGGGGTGTCATCTTTACACTTTATTGCCTAAGACTGTCGTTAGCAGCAGACATTCTGGAAGAAGAAGCCAGCACCTGCCATAGAAACTGAGCAAGGTTTTAGGGTTCCCTCAGTTCCTGCCATAATCGGTTTTTCCAGCCTGCACAAGCTGTATATTTATGGCACTTCTTTTGTAATTCTGCAGCTGTAAAACCTACTTCTCTGCTACCCAACACAGGATCACAGTTTTGAAAGCAACCTGCAGGGTCATCAAGTCCATTTTCATGTGGAAAACAACAGTACTAGACCATCTCCTTTCATAAACGTGCTGAGATCCACCTTACAACCAGTTATGTTTTTGCTGCCATCACGGATCCCAAAAGAAGGCAGTCCCACCTGCTGAATACAGCCAGTATCACCAGTGCCAGCACCTGATGCTGCGGAACAGGAGAAGAGACTGCTTCAGGATACTCCTTAGGCAATGCCAGTTTATGAAAAGTTACAGATTTTCAGAAAGCTGGAGCCTGAATCTTACGAAAGGAATTATGAAGGAATAACTACTACTCTGATGGAGTTTTTCCCCAAATAAACTAGGCAACTGTTATCTAGTCGTGGAGGAGATAAGAAGCTTCAAGTAAGACACAATATTTTAAACCTGGAAATTTTTGCTCAGCTAGATGATGTTTAAATAAATACAAAGGAAACACTATATAGAATGGAAAATCTAATTAAAGACATTCAAAGTGAATTAATCTACCTTGCATGGGTGAGCTGAATATCATAATTACATGCAAAAAGATAAAAGCTCTTGTTTTCAGCAAGTTCAGCTTTAGGTCATGGAAAGAATCAAAAGTGGCTGTGTCCATTCTAACCTTTCTGCTTTGCAGAGGGTGTGAAAGAAGAGACTTGATGGACAGAAGATCTCAAACTCAAGTGTATGTGTACCAGCAACAGAGTACATAAGGATAAACATTTCTGCAAGAAATGAAAGCTACTTCATGGAGCTGTTCAATGCATCTGTGAGAGAGAAAAAAAGAGATCTGGCAGAAAGCAAATTTGCTTCATGGGAAGGAGAAGGGCTGGCAGATCTGATGGAAGAAATGTGAGAGCCTCCAAGAGGCTTTCCTCTTGGAAAGGCAGGTGGGTGCCTGGGGCAGTACCCTACTGCATTCCAAATGTTGGAAGTCTATATGTGACAGTTGAATCAAGCTCCCAGCATGCACATTTTTTTTTTTTCCCAGAAGCAAGGAATGCCATTACTTCAAGAGAGTAACCTCCCTGTCCAGGGATGTAGTGAGGGATTTGTTTCTCTCTGCATATATGAAATGCAATGCAACAAACACTCCTACTGTGTATCCAGCCCTTGTCATCACTAGGCTTCAGAGCAAATTAGGAACAACTGCAATAAGTATCATTACCACTACTTCACACGAGGACCCCACGGAATTGAAACACAAAGCAATTTGTCTAATATCACTCAGCAGTCCAGTGGCAGAGCCTGGACAAGAAGATGAAGTCTCCTGTGGCTCTACCCATTAGGCTGTGCTGCGTCATAACACAGGAACTCTCTCTCCATACAACACATTTATCCATGGTTTACATTTACTTCTGAGAAAGGTTGTAAAAGTGCCTTACTTCTGTCTTTATAGATCAAATATTGCCATCATATTTGAGTCTCAGTAGTCTCTTCTCTGATATGCTCTTGCCACGCTTCCAGAGACACCTGGCCGTATGAGGTTACGGCGATCTGATCACCACAACGTTTCATAGTTAGGTTCAATCTGACTCATTACATTTAGCAGGTGGAAATGAGTTGCAGAACCAGAATGAGAGGCACCAGTGTCCTTGTCAAACATCTCCGTGCAAGTAGAGTAGAGGACTGTAAATTGGGAGTCCTCTGTAACTCCAGCTTTATGCGATAACTTCAGCTGAGTAACTGAAGTTACTCAAAGTTCATTTTCTTTCCCCAGCAGGGTATAGTGAAATCCCAGGCAGTTCAGGAAGGCCAGCACAGCCTGCGTGAACAGTTCTTCATGGACCATGACTTTTTGTGTCCAGAACTGAACTTTGCTCCGGATTGCAATATTGACAAAATGGTCTTTAACTCACTTCAACAGCCGAATCGCCTCCCAGAGAACTACCTTAGTGATGCACCAGAAACTCAAATTAAGACCAGAATCTCCCATTAATACCTCTAGGACAAATGAACACACCAAATATGACTCTCTAATTCTTGAGGAAAGGCATTCCCCCAGTAAGTAAGTCTGAAAAACCCAGAAAACCCTGAGCCTTGAAGCTGATGATTTCAGTAGGAACAAGCAACATTTGCCCATTAGTTTAGTTTCTGGTGGTCACACTTACCACTTGTAGCAGAGCCAGGTACCCAGCACCAACATTATCAAAGTTAACTTTAACTTTTGTCCAGTAAAATGTGCCTGACACATTATAGAGTATACAGTCACTCATATTGTTAATAATTTTAGAGTCTAAAGGCATATCTCCTTCTGTCTTATTAATGCACTTCCCAAATTTCCCGGCAAACAGGTTCACTCCCATGATACTAAAGATGAGCCAGAAGATGAGGCAGACGAGGAGAACATTCATGATGGAAGGGATGGCTCCCACGAGGGCATTTACCACCACCTGGGGTGAAACAGGAGATTAAAAACAGGATTAATGCCAGCACTTATACAGACCGCTAACAAGCTGTTGTGAACCCTTGATTAACTAGGTTGAACCTTTACCTGGTGATTGGTGGATAACTACAAACTACCTAAGGAGCCAGATCACCATTGAAGGCTTCACACATGATTATTATTTTTTCCTTTTCTAACTGAAGAGCTAATCTGTTGGCATCCTACCCATGGGATGATGTTTTTCTCAAGAAGAATCTTCTAATTCAGGAGATCTTTGAAGTCATCATGACCTCTCAGATCCTACTGGATAATATGCTTCAGTCAAACGACCTCTAATAACCATATGATTAATTGAAAACAACTGGGGTAAATCACACTGTCTCAAAATAGAGCAAAAGAGATTTCTGAAATCTTTTACTGAACTCAGGTCTCCATAGTCCTTGGGATGTGAACTCTAGCTGTGATAAATTCTGGTTATTTAAATAACTGATTGAGACATACTGTACTAAGCTGACTTGCCTGATCAGTATGCATGATTAAAGCAGTGAAACCATTCTAATTTAACAAAAAATGCATTGTTTTTTTCCTGTGACATGCTGTAAAGTTCCTACCTACCAATCCAGACAGGGCTGCACACCCCTACGTAAAACCATACATTTTCTGGGGAAGGGTCACTACCACAAGATGTAGTTTTCCCCTTGCTACGTCAGCAAGGTTTTCCCACATTCACAGCTTTTGGAGATGCTGTCACTGCTCAGTTCAGGCAAAGCTGCCTGACAGCATTGCTGCAATCAGCCCCACTACATGTATCTGTCTCCATCTCTGTCTCATGCTTTGGAGACTAAAATCTCGTCAGCAGACACTAAGCTCTTCCTCTTCTCCATCCACATTTCTGAAACTGAGACAAGGTGATATTGATCCATAAAAATTAAATTTTATTGAATTGTGGAGCCCATTATGGAAAATGCCAGCTCTTGTTTTCTCTCATATTAGTGTCCAATTTTCTGACAAGATAATAATGTAACATTTGTTTCTCCATCATTTTTGCATTGCTGAGGAAGAAAAATACCCGGAAGAATGAAACACTTTTCATGCATGTATAGCAGCAGATTCATCTACAATATACAAAATTATGTAGATCTTTCAAAATCCAGATTTGTATTTTGTGCCTTTATGAATGAAACTAATTTTCACACAGGAAAAGCTGCTTGACCAATTTTTTTTTGGTCTGTATAGGCCCACTTCTGATGACTTTACAATTTCTTTCTGATTTTATCTTTTAGTTTGGGATGTTAATCAATTTCTAATTTCATTGTTTTAAGACAAATCTTACTGTGTTAACCAAAACAACAAATAATTTCCGAATCAAGACCTTTTTTGCATATAGTCTCAGCTGTTAATAAAGTAGCTTTCATTTGCTGCTATGCAAGACAATATTTTTGCTCAGTTTTAATCCATGCAGCACTAAAACCACGGCACCTGTGTTACATATAACGCCGAACCCAGCTCCCACCCACAAGCCCTGTGAGAGGACACAGACATCCAGATTTCAGCAGTGCAAGGAATGGCCATGCCTGCATCCTGCTTTTTTCCTTCTGCCGAGTTACGTTCAATGGCTTGTAGATAACAAAACACGACATGAGGCTGGAGCAAATCCTGTAACACCTCTCCGAATGAATTATTAACAGGGGGTTTCATGCTTCTCTCAACGCCTCTGCTCTTACACCAGCGGGATGCCATTCGGTCTGCTGGAAGCACTCCTGAACTGCACTGAGACAAGGGAGGGGACTTAAAGACCTGAATGCATAAAAGCAAGTTACTGTCATGAATGCATGTTAAAAGTTCAGCTGCAATCCTTGCCATGGAAAGGGCGGAATTTCTGCTGCATCTAGGAACAGCAACATATACAGCCATGTATAAGAAAGGGTTTCATACCTCTTGCTTTCCCTCAATGACTTTATAGGTGAAACCACATTCCAGGTGAATTTAAGCATAGCCTAGAAACTGAGCCACCCTCTGCCCTAATCCACAGTGGTGCAAACCTATAGCTTGTAGTCCAGCTATAGATTTGGTTGCCTAGCTCTCCTGATCTCATGGGCCACCTTCTCAGCTGAAGATGATTCAGATTTTAAATCCAGAAATAGACTTGCATGATGTGTTCATCCTCCCTTTGCTACAGCAGAGCTCAACGAACTACCTGCAGTAATTCCAGGCCCAGGCTATAACTCCTAGCCAAACCCAGACACAGATTTTACAAAGACACCTAATTTACAATCTCATGATTTGAAATAACAAAAAGGAATTTTATTATTAGATAATCTCTTCCTGGTGAACTTTGCCCTCACTGTTAGAAACAAGTCCTGTATTTTTAGGTTGAATTTGTTGAACTAGAGGCACTAGTCACCTTCTCTTAGGTATTTTCTTGTATCATCCCCTGTCTCCATTGCAGGTGAGTTACCACTGTACGTGGTCTTGGGTAATTAAAAAATCAGGCTTTCTTCCTGTCATGGTTCCTTTGGATTTCTGATCATATTCATAGCTCCTTGCAGAGACTTTCCCATTTTTAACACTATTTCCAGCAGTTTGATAAAAGTCCAGCATTGAAGCACTGCCCTCTCCTTCTGCTTGATGGGTCATTTCCCTGCGTATTTAGGGATTGTAACAGTCACCTCATTTACTGGGCCTGCCCAAAAGAATGTGTCATGTGGAATAGCCATCCCAATCCCTAAGTCTGTCTCAGCTGCTGTTTTCCAAGAAACATCCCCTGGCATGACCTACTTTCCTCCACACTAGGTGTACAATGTGTGTGGTTTTATTAAAATGCATGTTGTACAATTGATCTGTTTTTCACTGTGATCCAGATCAGTCAGTATAATTCCCTTACCCATAATTTCACTTACTACTCCATGCACTTTGTCTGTTGTCAGCAAAGATTATTATATTTTCTTCCAGATAATGTTAAGGTCCAGATTAAGGACAGTTCTTATTCTGAAGGATCCCTCACTCAGAGACACTCATCACTGAATTTACAGTGTCATTATTGTTTACAATTACTTTTTAAGATCCATCACCCATTTTAAATTAATTTAAAATATGTTTACTTGGCTTGGTACAAAGCTCGTGTTTTCATCACCGTGTCCCATGGTATCAGATTCCTCTCTGAAATTTAAGGATATTATATCAGCACAGTTACCGTCATCAGCATAATTTGTAATCAAATCAGAGGACCATATCGGTTTTACAAGAACTATTCCCATGAAATCATGCTAACTAGCATTAATTATGCTATTCCTTTCCTGCATGTATCTTGTAGCAGCCTCACCATGACTTTACCCAGTATCATTTTCACATTAAACGGTCTATCACTCATCCTTTAAAAGTACTGCTATAACCTCCCTTGCTGGGAAGAGAGTTGCAGGGCCATAGCACCGCTGAAATTCCTGATGGATAACCAATGATGAGACATGGGAGACTTCATCATCTGGGACAGGCAGGCCTAAGTTAACTTAGTCTGGGATCAAATATGGCCCAGAAAGCAGCTGGTGAGGCAGGGTGGTTGCATGTGTGTGGCAACCCCAAGGTCTGTAGTAACTATCAGGCAAGATACTGGTCTTACTGGAGCCTTTTTTGGGGACAGAGGGGCAGGATGGCAACAGTTTAGATTTATTTTGCAGACCTTTCATCTGATGGGAGCTGATAAGGCTTGTGTCAAACTCAGAAAAGCCCCAGCCTCTTTGAAGACAGGGAAAAGACTGGAGTCTGAGAGTAACAGGTCCTCTTGGCCATCCAAGTGCTACTCTGTGCCTTTGCCTCAGGAACAATTGTTTCCAAAATTCAGTTACGGCATCAGTAAGTCTCTTACTGCAGTATAAATGAGAACTTCCTTGCTCCTGTTCTAGCCAAGCAGGGATCTTCCAATTATTCAAGCAAAAGACATTATAATAGAGCAAACTATTATTATTTTCTTACTGTCAGTGTTTGCTTCTCAACATTATCATTATTTAATCCATCACTGCGCTGGCAATTTTCCTGCACATTTTGGAGCATATGAACTCCTAATAATGAAAGGTCTAAGTGTCCCTAGTCGTGTTAAGTGTGGTTAGACAAACTAAAAATAAAATGATTTGATTTTCCAATAGCACGTATTCTCAATTACACATTATCATGGTTTACAAGCTAATTCACTCCCTCTGATAGCTCAGAAAGACTGAATATATTTTAGCTGCAGCAATGGTACAGGGAAGAAAAAGGATGTTTAGTCAGGGACCAGGAGAGCCTACAAATATGACCATGTTAGGAAGGAATCTTGCTGGCCTGATAGATGTGTCTAGAACGCGTAAGATCTCCACCAAGCCAACCTGTTGCTATTCTTGGACAGAGATGCAAACTTCTTCAGGCTATTTCTTTCCTATTTCAGTCTCATTTTTCTGATGTTTTGGGTTAGTCTTCTCGCTGATTTTCAGGTTTGAATCCAATTTAGTTAAACTGATGCAAAGTCATGAGTGAACATTCTTATGTCAGCTTAGAATATGTTAAAGGGGTTTCGCTTGAACTTGCAAATCCAGCAGTAGAAGGTAAGCCTTCATAAGCCAGATTTAAATTGATTTGAGAGAGTTTGTGCACAAATCACTCTGGTAGTTAAACCAGTGCATCTTTTGCTGAAACCAACTTTTGCTTAATTTGCCTATGTTTAATAAAGACTTAGAGTGAGATCATCAGATGACATAGGAGTGAGAGCTTTAATTAACATCAGTAGTGCAACATCACTTTGTGTCAGGTCAGGATCTGTAGTTTGCTTTTGTTCTATTTTGTGAATAACCTTTAAAATATTGACTGTGCTTGCTGAAAAGAGTGTGGTGAACAAAACAATCCAGGCTTGAGTGTCCAGATGAATAGAGCCTTTTGAATATTTTTGTCTTAGTACTAACACAGAGAAGAGTGCTCTGCAACTAGAGTTGTCTGATCTTCATCCATAAAAATAATGTGATTTAGGTAATAACAAGGTCTGTGGGACAAAGTCATCGATCCCCAGTTCTGGTCATCCAGAGAACGGGTAAAGTATGGGTACAGGGTTTCCATAAATTGCTCTGTCATCATATTTCTTGGGCTATCTCAGTTGTTAGGCTCTCCAGCCTTCAGTCTGTCTTACTGCAAGGGTATTGCAATAAGAACAGTTAATTATTAGGAGCTCAGTCCATGAACTACACATTATACTTACTGATGATTCAGACCAAACTTTTGCCTACAGGAAATCTTTTCCCTTGATATACCTCAGTATGAAAGCTGCAGCATTTTTGTTGGCCAAATGAAGATATTTGGGATCATCACACAATGTAAGTTGTTTTACGTGCAATTTTGTCAGATTTGCTTTATCTTGTTATGCAGTCTGCAAGGTTAGTAGTAACCTCAGCTCATACAGAGCAGAGTTGTCTCATCATCTACAAGTCATGTATGGTGCAAGGAGTTAAAGTGGTTATCTAGACAATATTTGATCAGTGTAGGAGGTCAGCTAACAAATAAACAGGTATGCTGTGCAGGTATAGCCACGCCGGCAAAGGACTGCAGAAGGGATAGAGATGGATGCACAAGATGGAGCAACAAATACAAAGTACATGGTTTTAATCTTAATCCTGACATTCCGTATTAAAACTGCAATCTGTTCAAAGGAAAGTTTTAATATAATCATTCATTTGCTTTCCCTATCTTTAGCATTTCTAATTTTTGCTTTAATTATTAGTGAAAAAAGTCCTTAAGAACTTTCCCAGTCAGTCTCATTTTAATACATGTCAAAAGCAGGGAGCAAACTTGTAGCTTGGTTATTCCCCTGATACGCCTTATAATTGAGAGGTAATTGTTAGCCAGATGCTTCCTTGGCCAAAAAGCTGTTTTTTAAAGTGCAATATGATAAGTTAGGCAGCAGGATTAGTTTATCATTAAATCCACCACAGGATGAAGCTGTAATGGTACAGTTGCAAGCAATCAAGACAAAAGAGGGATTTTTGATTCTGTTTTTTTGATATAGCACTATCATTCATTTCCTTTGGCTGACAACATAAAGACAAAACCACGTGCCACTGTTCCCTGTTACATGCTTGATGTCACACAGTGGAGGTTTGGTCGATGCTTTGCATATGCTTACCCGCATCCCTTCGAATCGTGACAATGCTCTTAATGGCCGCAGGGCTCGGAGAGTCCTGAGGGATTTAATGGGACCCATCTCAGAGTATCCAAGTGTATTGGCTATGAGGCTTATTAAAGAGACCTGAATGGAGACACAAAGCAAAAATCCAATGTTAGTACAGTCCCACCATTTTCCTTCTCTTCTGACTTTCCTTCCTGAAAAGAAACAGCTGGTTAGTTGGAAACATCTGGAACAATGGAAATAAAAAGCAACATTAAATGGAAGCCACTAAATTAGACCAACGCAGAAAAAAGGATTTTTTTTTACATCCACACATATACAGAACTTTTACCAACTCACAAACCCTTTGTTTCCACTTAACGCCAAATTTAAAGAAATACACACTTTCCAAGTTGTTGGTGTTCTTTTGAGTAAGCACACAGAAATCCTCTTCATGTCAGCTTGCACAAAGGGGATGAGAAAGATCACCATTACAAAACCATTACTCTGTGGTTCCCATATTGTAGGTTTCCTGAACACTCCTCAAGGTGTGTGTATCTTCCACTATTGAAAACATGATGAGTCACGTGTTACAATTTAGGACTTTCTGGATGAAAACAACCTGTAAGATCTAACCATTTCCAGCAGAGATAAAAGATTTTAGCATTACCATTCAATTACCAATCCTAAACTTACTGATCAGAAACAAGTCTTCTAGGTGTCTGATAGACATGACTTTATGCCATAGACTCTAAAAGAACGATGTGCGTGACTCATTGATTATGCACTTTTTCTGGTTTCTGCACAGCTTCTAAAGGAGAAAAAACCTTGACAGGTGATCAGTGTTGAGATTTATACCTCTCAAAGACTATTTCTTTGAAATAAAATATCTATTTCCATATCTGGAGAAAGCGTGGAGGGATTCCAACGTGCTTCATGTTCTCAGACTTTTGTAGTGCCCAGCTGGTCAGAAATGTGGACGCTATCAGGCACAGGACTGGGGTCTGGATGAATTGAATGGCAGTGGAGATTACGAGGAAGATAAACAAACACATGGCACAACAGAGTTTTGCATGTTCAAGTCAGCATTTACAGCCTGAATTCTTACCGAGCAGGGAGCGAGAAGCCAACGGCTAACACCATAGGTGTCATGCCAATTTCTATGCATTAAAAAAGAACCAAAATTAATCACCACATATTATAAAATGCTTTTTTCTTAGAAGAGAGAGACCTATGCATACTGGTCATCACTGCTCCCTTACTCCCATCTTACCTCAGCTATTTTCACAGCTCTGGTTATCACGGTGTTGGATTATTACACACTCACCAATGTAGGTGTGCAAAGCTTACCTGGAAGGAGTGTGCTGTTTTAAAGAGAGAAGCTAAGTATAATAACAGGGATTCTTCTACAGTGTACAAAAATGAGGTGCTTAGTATAAAAGAAAATGCTAGGCTCCCTCATGAAGACAGCCAGCTCTGGTGGGAAATCTTCCTTTTAGTCTTGGGGTAGGATGATTTTGATGCCCCGCATCACCCACAAGGTTTGTGATAAAGCAAGATAAGACAAGCCTGGTTCCCTAAATTGCAAGCTAGTGTCCTCTATGGAGCAACCTTTCTCCTGACTATGCACTCATTTATGTACCAGCACTGTCTGCACAACTAAGCGTCTTTGTAAATCTTGCTCAATTTGTTAAATTATTTACCTATTGATGGCTTTATGGTGGCATGCGGGTGACAGCAAGCCTAAGGGCAGGAGGTGTCAGAGACACCAACCCTGGTCTGGATGCAGTGGGCTGGATAGCTGCCGGGATAAGACAGCCCCGCTCTGTAGACAACGAAGTGGCACAGAAGCTGGCTGTCATGCTTTATCATGTCACTCTTTAACAAGGTGTGGCATAAACTCACCTCCCATGTACAGACCCAGCGGCTGATGTGGAAGGAAAGTCTTAACAAACCCTCTGCATTTTAGTGGTGAGTGTGCTATAAATATATCACAGCAGACAGGCAGACTGGATCCAAGGTCTGATGTCTTTAGGACCCTTATACACTAGGGTGTCTTCGCTTCCATCTCTAAGAAAGCAGATCTGAACCCATGACATGATCATGTCTAAGAAGTTATCTTAGTGGAAGTAATGCTATATGTTTGACATATATTCACAAGTAATGCTTCTTTCATCCAAATCCTGCTCAGTCAGTGCTCACAGTTGAAGACGAAAATCTGGATTTGACTTGAAAACCATCTTAAACTCACCAACGCTTCCAAACTGAGGCAGCACCCATTTTCTGTCTTCCTTATTTCTTACCAGCCTTGATTACATCCTGCACTCTGAAGTTGCATTAACATACAGTCCAAAGCCTTCTCCTTTCATTCACTCTCCCCATTGACTTAATGTTGCCTAAATAATGAGAAAGGGCTGAAGGATTTGTCTAATAGCAATGAGGAAATGCGCAGAATACTTATATAGTGAAGCCATTTGTCTAAGTCACCTTAAAACTGTAATATAATTGGCATTATTGGGATAACATGATGGGAATATCACTGTGGCACATATTTTTGTCGTTGCTGGAAAATTTAGTGCAGAAAATGGCCTTAACCCCACAAAGCCTTGGAGCTCCCTCTCCAGAAAGGCTGGAAGTATAAGAAACAAAGCTCAGTGATAGAAACCAAGATTTGTATGCTCATATGTTTCAAGAAAAGCTCATTCATCATTAAAATAAATGTAGAGATTGAAAAGAAAATTGATCAAATTCAGAGCACACAACACCCTTCTTCGCTAGCTTCACCCACAAGGACTGAAAGTGACACCTCAAGATCTTCAAACTGCCCTGGTTCATGCATCTGCATGCTTCCTCCCTCACATCCTATAACTCCCCTTTCTCACAAGGCAGAAATAGTTCTGTTCAAATCCTGCAAGATCAGACTTCAGATCTGAGCAAGTTACCATTTTCTTTAGAGTGCCGGCAATGTCACCCCGAAACACATCACAGGTGCTGTTGTCCTCCTGACACAGATTTACACAGCATTAGATATCTCTTCAGAGGATTAGGCTGCGAAGCTGTGTGATATTTGGCAATGATTTACAAGGCCAGAGTCAGAACGGAGTTTGAGACAAGTTGTTTAGATGCTCGGCTGTTGGTTTTGAAGGTATCCCCGTCAAATTTTATTTATAGAAGAATTACTAAGGCAGAGACTTGGCCATTTGGACTTGATTAAAAGTGACCCGGAAGGCTATTTTTAGGAAAAAAATCAGGCAGTTTTCAAAATTGGTGCTGACTGCCCCACATAATCACAGCAAAATTTCAAGTCAGCTGTTTCTGTTCCTTTTTTTTTTTTTTTTAACCTGTTACAAAGCTGCACAGCCCAGAGTTGCTCTGAGGTTCTGCTTTGTGCTCTCCTTGGTATCAGAAACTTGCTGGCACTCAGAAAACACCTCAAGGGTGAACATAACCTCCAGATCCACGATATGGCAGACATTTCTAATCTTTTCTCTTTGCAAATGGTTTTGTAGGTTTTTCAGAAAGAAAAAATGTCTCTGAACACCATGCTTTTAAAACTTCTGACTGCACTGAACACTAAAAATACCAGCCATGGAGATTGCCAGGCCTGTGGCTAGTGTTTTGAAAGCCAAACTCCTGTCATCTCTATGTCTTAGTGGCATTAGCAACACGGATCTAGAGTGCCCCGTTGCATGACATTCACATGTGTTTCTAGGGCAAAATCAAGAAGAATCAATGAATTTAGACTGCTAGAACACAGGCAATGATTTCTGAAGAGAGGCTAGCATCACTGATAATTGTTTGAAGTTATTGTAATATGTTCTAAATAGAGTAATATCTGAATTTCTTGATTGTTTTGACAATCCACTATGAGATTATATAAAAAAATGCAACAAAACCAAAACCCAAAAAAAAGTCCTGTAATGTATTTGTCCCAAGTGGCACCCATGAAGGGTCAGGTTCCCAGTGTACTCACATTGATACTCACAGCCATTCATCAGTTAACTGATCCGCAGCATTTTTTTGACTATTAAAATTGTTCACTATGAACACACAGAGATAAAGGTACACAATAGGTACATATGTCTTCATTATCTGGCAGTGACTTAAGAAATCAGTGTTGTAAACCCTAGTAAAGCTGTCGGAAGAGAATTTCAAGGCTGCAGAAAAACAATTATAAAGTAGGAATTACAATAATCCAGCTTCCTTATAGCACCCACAGGGTAAACTGCCTTTAATCAAAGATCACGGAGTCCTTTTCCCCAAGAGCTATTGCATTTATAACATTAGTGGTGTTCCTTCCTATATGCACGTATCTTAATAAATTATTAGTAGCATGCACAGGCTCCTAGACAGGAAATTATGCTGGCGACAGTAATCTGAAGGGCGCAGTCTTTGGGAGCAGTGTTTCACCTGAGTCTGAGTGTTTCCTATAGTGAGGAGGTGGGTTTGAGCTGGAACAGGGGCTCCTCCTTTGTTTTTCATGTTCCTTCCCACCAGCCTAATAGCACATCATTTCAGAAAACCAGTGAGCATCCACCGGACCATGCTGGAAGCAGACCTAAGCAGCACCATTCAAAGGCAGATGCTACTTGGCACAGACTATGTTTTTGAATTAACCCCAGATCCCCACTGAGATGAATTAATAGCAGAGCCCAGGGGACAAGAAGTTCTGCCTGGGAAATGGTAAAGATCCACCTTGGCTGGTCATATAAATCCTAAAACCCATGAGAACGAGAGCATCTGCTAAATGTCTGCCTGCTGCAGCTTGCAGCTCTGAGCGGTACCCTGCAAGCTGCTGTCTTGGGGAGGAGACCTCTTTCCCGGTTTGGGCCACAGCTTATGTTTTATGCAGCCAGGGATTTCACCAAATTAACCTGCTTGTTCAAATTAGAGAGGATGGAGTGGGGAAAAAAAGGGCATCTGAAAGGGAACGCAGCAGCTTGTAAGCTCTATGGACACTTATTTAAATAAGCAGTTTCAGCTAATGCAGGCCCCCAGTGCTTTCAAATAGCTTTTTACATGCCCCAGGAACACCTGTTTCTCTCTCTCTCTCTCTCTCCCTAATTGTGCTTTTAAAAAAAAGTAGAAGAAAGAGTGCTTGGATTACTTTGGGTGCCTCTTTTCAATCCACTCTGGTTTTT